ATCTTTTACCATACACTAAGCTAAATTCAGAATGAATCAAAGATCTTAAAAGAAAAACATTAAATCTGCTGGAAGACAGTTGGTAAAACTCTTGAAGACATTGATGTAGGCGAAGATTTATAAACAAAACCCTTACTGAACAGCAACTATGATAAAGAATCAGCAACTAGGGAGACAATATGAATATACACGTCTCAGATAAAGAAATACAAGCAGCAAATAAACATGTGAAAAAATTTAACATCACTGGTCATTCAAAAGATGCAAATTAAAACAAAGTTGAGATTCCATCTCACCCCAGAAAGAATGGCATTAAGAAATCAGTCATAACAAATGCTTGCGGGGTTATGGGGAAACTGGAACACTTCTCCACTGTTGGTGGGAATGCACACTGGAGCAATCACTGTGGAAATCAGTGTGACAATTCCTCAAAAAACTAGGATTGAAAGCCCCATTTGACCAAGCTATTCCCCTTCTGGGTATTTTCCCAGAAGAATTAAAAACATCATACCTTACCAATATAGGTGCACCCATGTTTATAACAGCACAATTTATAATAGCTAGATCTTGGAAACAACCAAAATGCCCATCAACTGAGAAATGGATAAAAAAAAATGCTATTTTTATACAATGGAGTAGTACTTCAGCCATAAAGAACGATAAACTGGAGACTTTTATAGGTAAATGGATGCAACCTGAGACAATATTCGTAAGTGAAATAAACCAGATACACATGTGTAAAATTATCTCACTAGTATGAAAAGCTGAAAGAGTAAACAAAATCCAAAATGTACAACAGATATCATAAAATGAACTTCAAAAGAAAAGAGAAAGATATGAGAATGGAGAAAAGAAAAAAGTGTAAGATAGTTGTAAGACAATTATACTACTAATTTCTGTTTGTTCACCGAAAAGGTTTGTGCTAATATTTCTGAGTAAGTAAAGATAACAATATGCAATGTAATCAATGTAATAACCAGTGTTAACTTACCTTGTTTTGAAATTTTGTTTCTCTTTCAAATCAAAAAAAAGAGAGAGAGAGATTTCTGTTGTGCATGGAGGCACACAAATGCTAAACTTCCCATTCTGAGAGTCTGAGGCAGGAGGAATGCAAGTATGAACCGGACTGGGGCTAGTGGCCAGCTCCTGTCTCAAGAAAGTGGTAAAGCTATACTTCAACACAAATGCCCTGAGTTCACGTACTGCAAAAAAGAAAAACATTACTATCCATTGGTATACTACAAGACCACAAAGGGTCTACTGAATGTTGTCTATTATTTAACTAATAAGCTAGATTTTCCCACAATTGCAAGACCCTTTTCTAATAACTATCATTTGGCACTGCCTCTTTTGTTCTCAACTTTTAAGATTTTGTTTTGAATAATCCTTATGAATGTCCCCAACTTGGGGATGGTTTTTGTTTGTTTGAGACCAAATCTTGCTGTACAGTTCAGAGTAGCCTTGAACTTCCCATATAGCCCAAATTGGCCTCAAACTCAGTGATCATCCTGCCTTAGCCTCCTTAGGGCTGGGATTACGAGCCTGCAGTACCACACGCGAATATCTCAACTCTTAAAAAATGTAATATAGGGGCTGGGTACTTAGCTCAGCGGCCCTAAGTGCCTGCCTTACAAGCAAGCAGTGGTGAGTTCAATCCCTGGTACCGATAAAAATGAAAAAGACAAAAAAATGTAATATAAACTGGGCGTGGTGGATCAGGCCTGTAATCCCAGCAGGGGGTGCCTGAGGTGGGAGGATTGTTGCAAGTTGGAGACCAGCCTGGGCTACAAAGTGAGCTCAAGGCCAGCCTGAACTGCAGAGCGAGACCCCGTTTCAAAAAAGACCAAAAAAAAAAATAATAATAATAGTATATTGAGTAACTTTTTGCTTCTGTTTCTCACTTTATTCATTCATCTAAGTAGAAATATAAACCAACTTTTGACTTCTAATTTCTAACTCTTCATTATGGATTCAATAGCTAAGAAAAATGTTTTCATAATACACAATTTTAGGTAAATATTTCCACTTACTTTGTTCTAAAATCTGTCTCCAAACCTGAGGCATGTTAAAAAAGTGATCAACTCTGCCTCTCTGGATGCCACTTCCTGTAAATGTGACTGCCATGGACCACTGAAGAACAGGAGCACATCAACTACATTCCATGGAGGCAGGCCACACTAAAGAGGATTCATCCTCTACCATAGTGTGTAGGAGTCTAGATTGTTTTTTGGTGATTTTTTTTTTTTAGACAAGGTTTTGGTATGTAGATCAGGCTGGCCTAGAACTCAGGGAGGAGGCCTGCAAGTTTGAGTTTAGCCAGGGCAACTTAGCAATGTAGCAATACTCTCTGTCTCAAAATTTTAAAAGATTTTAAATTTAAAAAAATTTAAAGGGCCAAGAATATACCTCAGTGAGAAGGTCCTACTTCAATTCCCAGGACTAAAAATAAGTAAGAAGGAAATAAATGAAGGAGTAGTAGGAGGATTGAGATGGAGAAAATTAAATCATCTACAGTGACATATGACTGTGGTCACAGCTATTTGGAAGGCTAAGGCAGAAAGAACTACTTGAGTGCTGGAGTTTCAAGGCAGCCTCAGAAACAGAAAGACCATATCTAAGAAACCCAAGCACAGGGCGATAAAAAGGAAAAAGACAAGGAAAAAAAAAGAAACCCAAGCACAAAAAAATTCTAGTTTTGGAATTGAACAAAGGGCAAGACACAAACCATTATCCTCACATGAGCTTTTTTTTTTTAAATTGGAGACTGAACCCAGGGCCTTGTACATGCTAGGCCAAGCCTTCTACCACTGAGCTACACTCCAATCCCTTTTTCTTTCTTTCTTTCTTTTTTTTTTGGTACCAGGGATCAAACTCCTGACCTAGTGCTTGCCAGTCCGGTGCTCACACAGCTGAGCACAATTCCCGGCCTTTTTATTTTCAAACAAGGTCTCACCAACTCACCAAAGGGTATGGTGATGCACATCTGTAATCCCATCACTCAAGAGAATGAGGCAGAAGGATCACTACAAATTGGAAGATAGCTTGGGATACATAGTAATTCAAAGCCAGCCTAGGTTATACAGTGAGTTGTTATTTATTTTTTCTTTTTCTTTTTCTTTTTTTTTTTTTTATCGGTACCGGGGATCGAACTCAGGACTGCCTGCTTGCAAGGCAGGCGCTTATGCCGCTGAGCTAAACCTCCAGCCCCTAGCAAGTTGTTATTTAAATTAATCAATCAATCAACTAGGCTGGCCTCAAATTTGTTATCCTATTCCCTCAGCCTCTCAAATAACTGGGACTGCAAGCATGAGCCACTAAACATGACCCCAAAGAATTTAAGAGAACTCTCTAAAATTTTTCTTTTTACACTAGGGATTTACCTCTCAACCTCGAGCTTGTCAGGCAGGCTCTGTGCTGCTGTATCCCTGCCCGAACTCTCTAAATTTAAAAAAATAAATAAATAAATAAATATTTATTTTCTTCTGAAACACATTTCAGAAGGTCTGTATTAATTTCCCAAAACCTGAGAAGTTCAACTAGGATCTCAATGCTGTCCCGGAAAACCTAGCCCAATGCACACTAGTGAGAAATGGCCCTGTGGGGAAGGACACACTTGGTAAGGTTGCTTTAACTCTAAAAATTACTAAAGTAGGCGTTTTGCTTGAGGGTTTCTCCATGTAGCCCAAATTGGCCTGGAACTCATCGATCTTCCAACCTCTGCCCTTCTTGACCGCTGGAATTACAGGCCATGAGTTATCACGACCTGGTAAAGTAGAAAATCTGAAGTCATATCTGAGTAATAGTTTCTAATTTATGCCTAGGCTATAGTCTAAGAATAGCGAGCTTTATTTATTTATTTTTGACGTAGGGTCTCCCTGGGCAGTCTAGCGTGGCCCTGAACTCACAACAATCTTTCTTCCTCAGTCTTCTGAGTGCTGGGATTCCAGGTATGCGCCACCATGCCGGGGTAGTGAGCTTTATTTTTAATAGGAGTCAGCCTTCCTGAGGTTTCTCTTAGAAGTGTACTCATTCCACTCTTCTCCAGCCTGAGAAAAACGGAGAGGACAGGAGGACCCCTAACAGGAAGGGCTGAAGAAAAAGGCCCGCCCTCAGAGAAAAGCCTTTAAAACAAGAAATGTTAACATACTGAGAAAGCACTGACGCCTCCCAGGACAGTTGCCACAGCTGGAGACCTGCCCTGGGTTTTCTCGCATGCACGTTACTTGCACCATTACAGCTATCCTGATCAAGAAATTCCAAATAGGGCCTGGGGATTTAGCTCAGCGGCATAAGCACTTGCCTTGTAAGCAGGCAGTCGTGAGTTCGATCCCTGGTACCGATAAAAACGAAAAAGACAAAAAAAGAAATTCCAAATATTCCTTAACACCATGACCAAAATTCTTCTGTCCCAACAGCCTGTTAGTTTCTCCTGCGGCCACATTTACCTCGAAGGAAAAACTTCACAAGTGACTCTCTGATTTTTCCCTGGTGTTTGCCACTGTGAGACAGCAGGGGAGTGTGACAACTCTGATGTCAGGCAAAAACGACATCAACCTTAGCCACCATACTACTTCTAAACAGCAAGTTCTCCCCGCATCACGGAGCCAACCCAGACAGGGATGTCTGCTCCCCACCCCGTGCCAGGCGCTTCTTGGGAGAGAAACGGGGCTCCTCAAGGCTGCCCCGCGCCCCGACGGTTGTCCGGAGTCACTCAGGACGAGTCTGCCGGCGTGGGGGAGGAGGCAGGAGAGGGCCCAGAGAACAGGAGAGAAGGACGCCACCGGCTCTGGGCCGCGAGGGAGGCCCGGGCCGGCGGCTGGACGGGAAGGGGCTCCTCCCGCCTCGCCCACTCGTTCGGCCTGGGCAGCGACCGCCAGCCGGCGAGGGCGAGCGCGGAGCAGCCGGCCGGCGCCGGGGACGTCGCACGCGCCCCGCCCAGGACGCCGGCAAATCTGCTGCCTCATCCCAGCGCCCCGCTCCCGCCTGGTCGCCGCACTCACGATGTTCTCGGCCATGGCGGCCACTCCTGCTTCCGGGCTCGGTCCCCGGGTCGCTGCCGTCTGTCGCCCCACAGCCCTCACAGCCCCGGCCCCGGCCTCAGCCCCGGCCTCTCGCCGTCGCCGCCACCGCCGCTCCAGCTTCGCCGCCTGATTCCTCCAGAAGGCGACGTCCGGTGCGTCGCCCAACAAGGTCCTCCGGGTGCGCAGCCCTGAAACCAGGTTCCTACCCAGCCAATGGCCCGGCCAACGACCGCGAGCATGCGCACACAGTGCTACCTAGCGAGCTTCGGCCCCGCCCGGGAACCGCCCCCGCATCGCACTGCACTGCACTGCAATGCACAGCACAACCGCGCGAGGGAGTCTGTGTTTGCGGCTTGAGGCTGTACAGGAAGGAAGGTGGTGACCCTTCCACCTGGAGCCCTGTGGAACAGCCCTCAGAAGAAACAGGCACCCGAAATTTCACCCCAAAATGCAGTTGGTGGATCCTGTTTGGGCAAAACAGCATCCCAGCCAAATTAAATTGCATTTTGAATAATGTGTGTGCCTTAGGACCAGCTTCAGTGCAATCCACCTGCCGCTGGGAAGCTGCTTCAAGCTGCTGCTGTCTTGACACACTGGAATATTCCAACAATGACCTCCACCTTTTGCCCAGGGCCCCGCGAATTCTGTAGCCAACTCATCTGTGATTTTGAAAACAAAAGTTATGAGAATCTCTAGGAAACTAAAAACTACACATTTTAACCTCATAGTTCGATTTCAGGTTGCATTGATTAAAAAGTGAGGAAATTGTTATTTTTACCTCTTATTTTTTATTTTCTTGAATTACTCTCACAATGTCAGTTTTGATAACACATACTATTTATAACCTACAGTAGAGCAGTTATTTAAATGTGGCTTATTTCTATCATTAACAAAGATTTACCAACTGTTCGCTTTGTGTATGGTGTGACTCTTACACTGAGAATGAAGGAGAAGGGAAATAGACCTCTGCCCTCTTGAAATTTACCAGCAGGCAAATAACACACAAAGATGTGATGGCACCTCTTGGTACCCAAACAAGGAGGGTTAAGGAGTTAACAGCGGCTGTTTTAAAATTATATTTTCAGGAATTGGGTACAGCATTTGCTTGAGGCCCCGCATTGAATTCTTAACACACACGTTAAAAAGATGGGCAGGAAAGACCTCTCAGGAAGGGAGGTTGAAGCAGGGTCCTAGATGAAGTGACTGATCCAGATACCTGAAGGAGCCACGATGTAAGATAAGGGAAATGCATGTACAAAGATCCAGGGATCTGAGACATTTGGATGATCCAGGGACAAACAGCAAGTGAGTCTGGAATGCATTTGGGATACTGTTTCCTGAGGAGCCACATCCGATACACAAAGCCTTGGACTCTGTTCTAAACAGAAACAGTGGTCAGCCTGTGAAAACTGCAAAGAGAGACGAGCTCTCTCTCCACTTTTGAAGGAACCTTCTTGAATCTGAGTGGAGGAAGACAGGAATGCCAATGCAACAGTCCAGAGGACAAATGACAGTGGTAGCAAAAGAACAGAAGTGGCTGGACCCAGGTGTTGGAGGATCCATAGAACTGCCGTGGAGCACTGGCTGGAGGGCAGCATGCAGAGATGGGATCATAGCTGAGGGAGGCGCTCTGAGGGATCTTGACATGCAGGATGTCAGGATGAAGGACATATCTTGTCCATAACCCTGTCCCAAATCTTAACACAAAAAACCTGTTTTGGGATGAGGATACCGGGGACTGAACTCACAACCTTGCACTTGCCATGCAGGCACTTGTGCCACTGAGCTATATCCCCAACCACCCCAAAAAATTATTTTTTATAGTACTGCAAGTCAAATACAAGGCCTCGGGCATGCTAGACAAGTGTTGTACCACTTAACTACATTGTCAGCCCCCACAAACAATGATTTTGACCGTGATTTAAAGGCCATCTCATTGTAGGAGACTGGCCTCTCATCTTCTGCGTGTCTCACATTCAAACATTTGTAATACGCAAGGGCCAGGCTCTGTCTTTCTTAGGATGTCACCAGCATGGTCTTGCTGTCACCCTCACTTAGCAACACATAAACTATTGTATCTTGCTTACTTTTGGGTCTTTACTACTGCATGATGGTTTTTGGTTGGTTTTTTGTTTTTTGTTTTTTTGTTTGTTTGTTTTTTACCAAACTCACGACCTTGCGCTTGCCAGGTGGGTGCTTATTGCACTGAGCTAAATCCTCAATCCCTTATGGTGGGTTTTTTAAAAAAATTATTTTAAATTATATTAGTAATAGTACCAGTTTGCTAGGTATACCACAAAAATTACTATAGAGAAGCTGAGTACTGTGCAACACACCTGTAGCCCAGCAGGTCAAGAGGCTGGGGCAAGAGGATCAAAAGTCTGGGCAATGGGGCTGGAGGTCTAGCTCAGCAGCATAAGCGCCTGCCTTTGAAGCAGGCAGTCGTGAGTTCAACTCCCGGTACTGATAAAAAGGAAAAAGACAAAAAAAAAAAAAAAAAGTCTGGGCAACATAGTGACACCATGTTTCAAAAAATAAAATAAAGGCCAGGCCTAGTGGTACATACCTATAATCCCAGTACTTGGGAGGCTGAGGCAGAAGGATCACTGTGAGTTTGGGGTCAGCCTGGACTACATAGTGAATTGAAACCCAGCTGAACTGCATAGCAAGATCCTATCTCAAAAAAATTTTTAAATTGAAAAATGGCCAGGAAGTAGTTCAGTGATGGTGCCCTTGCCTAGCTTATGCAAAGCCCAGGTTTGCCCCATAGCACTACAAATCCATATGTAAGTTACATGAAATTACATTATATACATATGCTTAAACAAACTGTCAATTGACAAATGCATGCATATCTAACATTCCCACAAAAGAACTGGGGACAGGGTCTGTCCAAGGTCAGAGAGTTGATGGCAAGCAGAGACCCAGCACTGACAGCATGCTTTCTGACCACCTGTCAGCCATGTGGCCTGGGTCTTTGCAGAATGAAGACCCAAGGTGACCATGATGAACTTCTCCTGAGAAGCTTAGAAGGGCAGGTAGGGGAGCCCCAAGCTTATGTACCAAGGCAGATAGATGCTGTATTTCATTCTTGCACAGAATATACCAGGAGAGGAATGTGGCACTCAGGCTGCTGGTGCATTCTTGGGATTGTTTGTGAACCATGTGAGTCTAACTCTGAGGTGTTAGTGGGGCTGCCACTAAACTTGCAAGACTGAGGCCCACAGTGGGGTCCTACAGCAATGGCCGCGAAGTGAATACTGTGCATCCCTCCCCAAGGAAATGTCCAGAGCCAAGGCCAAAAGCAAGGGGCAGAGAAGAAAGATGCCTGCATCTCCCCAAGCAGGCCCCGCCTTAAACCCTAAAATGTGACTGCTCACATGATCCTATTTTGACGCAGGAGTGTGGGTAGCTCTTGCAGCTGCCCCTACACTAAGCTGCACAGCTCAGAGCAGTCCAGGGGCCCAGTAGCTCCAGCCAGAGAGGGACCAGTCATTTGTCCTAGCCCTGTGATAAACGCTTCTCTTCTCATGAGAGGATGGAGACAGGGGAACATAGCCCCTTGCTTCCCCAGGTAAGCCAGGCTGGGTGGCCTCATCAGCTGGAAGGTGTTCCCCAGCCCCAAAGCTCCCCGGCACGGGATGGGGGTGGGGGTCCCTGAGATGGATTCTCACCCCATTTTGTGTCTCCCAGCCTTGTGGCATGCTGGGACTTCCCACTAGATGGGTGTGGGTTAAGTGGACAGGCCACTGAGACTGAGGACTGAACCCAGGATCTTACAGAAGCCTGCCGCACAGAGCCACACTACAACCCAGTGCCTTAGTGCTGGTCCGTGAGTCTCCTGTGGATCTAGGGCTACAACTGTGGCATGTAAGAGAGGGTATAAGAGAGGGTGAAGGCTATGGACATCTGTGGCCTCTGACAGTCCCAATTTGGCCAAATAGGCTTGGCAGCCTGTCCATTTACTCATATTGACTTGTTTGGACAGAGAACTGATAAGTAGCTTAGCCTCTGCTCCAAATTTGGAGTTAAGGAGCCTCGTGCAGAGTCAGAAAGCCCTGGTGGAAAAGGCAGCATCTTCTCAGTGGAAAGAGGATCCTTGCCTGAGCATTTGCCCCAGCTTCTGAACTCTCCCCCATGTCAAGCAGAATTGGGTACTTATGGGGCTGCCCTCTTCCCCTGTGCCTCTCTTCCCCAAACCTGCCTTTTCTCCAAAGGCCTTCTTGGTCTCCAGTCCCTTCCTGCAACCTCTACTGTAGAGCCCAGCATGGTGTCTGCTTTCTTTTTTTTGTTTTTGTGAGACAGGGTTGCGCTATGCAGTTCAGGCTGTCCTTGAGCTCACTTTGTAGCCCAGGCTAGTCTCCATCTCCCAAGGATCCTCCCTCCTCAGCCTCTCGAGTGCTGGGATTACAGGACTGAGCCACCACGCCCAGCATAGTGTCTGCTTTCATGGGGCTTTGACTACTGGAGCAGGCTGAGCAGGTCCTAGAACACTGGTTTCAGAGGGGAGGCAGCTGTCCACCCAGCCTGGGAGAGAAGCCCACTGTAACTAACATTGTTGCTGCACTACATGGTGCTTACAGACTGACCCTAGCAGACTCTTTTGGGTTAAGATTAGGATAGAGTTGGAATGCAGAGAAAGTGTCCTGCTTGCACATTCCTGCACTGCAGGAAGAAAGACTAGAGGGGCCCTTCTATAGCTCAGGTATGAAGGAGAGGAGAGGAGCATCAACCACTGCCTTCTCAGATTTCACCACAGATCTTGCAGGGTGTGATTATCAGCCTGTCCCATGGCTGGGCCCCACCGCCATGTCTGCAGACAACAGACTAACTGAGCGAGACCTGCTGCTGACTGCTTCTGGGGTGCCCCCCTTCCGGGTTGTCCTGATTGCCACAGGGGTTGAGTGAGCACGTGATTCCTTTTCCCTCTGCAGAATGCTAAAGGGCAGGAGCCTCCCTGCTCCATGTATAGTCCAGTTACATCAGGCCACCGAGGTCCAGTGCCCCAGGGAAACAAGTTGGATGCCTGGAGCTGCTGCTGTTGTGCTCCTGTGGCCAAGCACCAGGCCTGGAGTGGCGGCCCAGCTGCCTCCCTCTCCCTGGGGAGCAGCTGCATCAAATGTCTGACCTTCTTCTCCAACTTCCTCTTCTCCCTGCTGGGTCTACTGGCCCTGGCAGTAGGACTTTGGGGCCTTGCTGTCAAGGGCTCTCTGGGAAGTGGTTTGGGGAAACCCCTTCCCCCAAACCCCTTGCTGGGACTGGTGCTTGGTGGGCTGGTGGTCAGTATTGTGAGTCTGGCTGGCTGCCTGGGAGCCTTATGTGAAAGCAGAAGCCTCCTGCGCTGCTTCTGTGGGGCCATTATTGGCCTCTTGGTGCTTGAGGCACTGGCAGGGGCCCTGGTGGTGGCCCTCTGGGGTCCTCTACAGGATAGCCTTGAGCACACCTTGCATGTGGCCATCACCCACTACCACGACGACCCAGACCTGCGCTTCCTCCTTGACCAAGTCCAGCTGGGACTGCGCTGCTGTGGTGCGGTGTCCTACCAAGACTGGCAACAGAACCTGTGAGTCCTGGGGTGGGTGGGGAAGAGGGGTAGCAGCCACACATTAATTCACGTGTGCATGCACATGTATGCAGATGTTCACAGGTGCCAGGGCATTTGCATGGACACACATGCATGCATATACACACTGGTAGGTTTCATGTGTATGTACACCCAGGTGTCCGCATGTGCACACAGAGAACAGTCTGGTACTCAAGCACACTCTCCTGGGAATACATTCACATACATACAGACATAGATGCACACACAGATGTGCACACCAGGAGGTGCTGAAATACTTCTCCTTGATCCTCAGGCTCAGGGCATGGATCAGCTTTTTTGACCAACTTTTAGGCCCAGGCTAAGCCTTCCTTCCAGCCAGACCTACAGGAGTACAAGGATGTTAATGGAGAAGTCAACAGACTTGGAAACTCACTTTTTTTGGCCAGGCATGGTAGTGCATGCCTGTAATCCCAGCAATGGAGAGGCTGAGACAGGAGGATCATAGTGAGTTCAAGGCTAGCCCAAATTACAGGGAGAGTTCAAAGCCAGGCTGAACTACACAGTGAGACACTGTCTTAAAAACCAAACCTAAGGGGCTGGGGATTTAGCTCAGTGGCATAAGCACCTGCCTTGCAAGCAGGCAGTCGTGAGTTTGATCCCCGGTACTGATAAAAAGTAAAAAACAAACAAACAAAAAAAACCTAAAAAAAAAACCCAAACCTTGCCAGGTGTGGTGGTGCAAGCCTATAATCATAGCACTCAAGAGGTTGAAGCAGGAGGATCATTGTGAATTCTAGACCAGCCTCGGCTAAGAAGTGAGCTCAAAGGCAGCCTGATCTGCATAGTGAGACCCTGTCTCAAAAAGACAAAGCAAAAACAAAAACAAAAAAAAAAATCTTTTTTTCATTGCTAAGACATCTCAGTGTCAAATTAAAATAACTTTAGGTTAATTCAGAATGTTTTTCTGAAATACAATTCCAGTGGGGGTGATTAAATGTTATCTATTTGGGGACATAATATATTGTATCTTTCTTTTTGTGATGCTAGGGGTAGAACTCAGGGCCTCACACTCAAGAGGCAGATGCCCTTTCACTGAGCTCTCCCCCAGCTCCTCAATGCAGCACATGCTTGGCGATTTACTCCGCATACACAGACACCTGGGCAGCTTCTGTCCTGCCTGTGGCACCAAGGATAAAAAAGTCACTTCTCACTGGGCATGATGGCACACATCTCTAATCTAAGCACCCAAGAGACTGAAGCAGGAGGGTCTTTGTGAGATTGAGGCCAGCTTGGGCACAGAGTGAGTTCCAATCAAGCTGAATTGAGAGTGAGTTCCAATCAAGCTGAATTACATAGTAAGATCATGTCTCATAAATAAATGGATAAATAAATAAGCAAGCTTCCTTTCTGCAGCTTTCAAGCCCAACTAGAGATGGAGTCAGAGGAGACTCTCTAACTAGCTGTTGGTTCCAAACTGTTGCTAAAACAAGCTGGGCCCCTACAGGTACCAGGCACCAAGAGGAGTCACAGGCTGCTGCCAAGCCCTCTGCTGCCTTGCTGAGGTGCACTGTTCTGCTGCTTGAGACAGCAGCTGTGAGGGCAGCTTGGGGACCAGCATGCAGGTCTGCATCCCAGGGTCCAGTCAGATGCATGCAGGGCCCTGGAGGCCCATGGAAGGCCAAGGGCAGGTGAGGGCCCCCATAGTCAGGCTGTGATGAGTGCAACATCCCTTAGCCATCTGGGCCTCATCCCGTCCCCCTCGCTGTCATTGCTCAATACTGCCTCTTCTCTGTGACCCCAGCCCCTTCGGAAGCACCTCCTTCCTTTGCAACTCTGTCTGTTCCAGCAACCCCGCAGCAGCTATGGAGAGAGGTCTGCTCATTGCCCTTCACCAAATGCTCCTCTCCTCTTCAGCTGTCTCACCACATGCTCCCTCCCCACTGTGCCTGTCTGCAAAGGCAGACGGCTTCCACGCACAAGGATATGGGAAGCTTATGTATCCATATGTGTTTATATTCTTGCATGTGTATGTTCACCTATGTTCTTGTACAAGTGTGTGTGTGGATATACTCATGCATGAGTAGTGTGCAGATCCATGCATGGGTAGCAGTGAGAATCTTCAGGTGGGTGAGACAGTGGGCTTCCCTTGGGACTGAACCTCATATGCCCTGTAGGTACTTCAACTGCAGCTCTCCAGGGATCCAGGCCTGCAGCCTTCCTGCCTCTTGCTGCATCAACCCTCAGGAAGGTGGAGCCTCAGTGAATACCCAGTGTGGCTTTAGGGTACTACGCCTGGACCAGGCTGCGGCTGAGCAAGTTGTACACCTGGAGGGCTGCAGCCCCAGGCTGCAGCAGTGGCTGCTCGGGAACATTCAGGCCATGGGTGGCTGTGTCATCGCCATCGTGCTGGTACAGGGGGCTGAGCTCCTGTTGGCAGCCCAGCTGCTGGGGGCCCTCGCTGCCCAAAAGGCAGCCGAGGACCTGGGGCCAGGCCCTCCCTGAGTGTGGAGGATCTATGTTGCCTTCCCCACTGGTCAGGACCAAAGAGGAAGAGGCAAAGATACAGGGGGCTCTCGGCTTCCCCTGGCTGGCCTAGCGTGGGGGTGGGGGAATAGTCCGGGTCTCCTCCCTCTCCATCCTATATCCTTCCCCTTCCGACTTGTTCCCATGCCCACAATCAACCTTGCATCACCACCTAATGTTGCTCTGGCTTTCTTTTTTTTTGTCTTTTTCATTTTTACTGGTACCTGGGATCAAACTCACGACTGCCTGCTTGCAAGGCGGGCACTTATGCCGCTGAGCTAAATCCCCAGCCCCCACTCTGGCTTTCTTGAGGACCCACACAGGTTTCCTCCATGCTCCTTGCAAAGGGTACCTATCTGGTGTGAAGAGCTCAAGTTGGGAATGCCTGCTTCTGACCCACGACCTGACTTGCCTCTGGCCAGCTCCCAGCCCCTCACTTCCTCATTGGTAGGGGCCCCTTGCCTCTCAGAGGCCACCTCCCCCTTTCCCATCTGTGGTGGAGTTAAGGGCAAAGCCAAGTCTCTCCTTCCAGGAGGGCATTTTGGGAGGAAGGCACAGTGGCCACAGAAGAGTGCCACTCCTGTGGGTAAACGGCCAATCTCAAGGAGCCAAGAGAGGAACCCCAACCAGCTCAAGATAGGGAAGCCCCCAGCTACCAGGGCTCTCTGCCCCAGGGGTCAGCTCAGCTCTGACTTCATCTCCAGGTCAATGTGGCCCATCTATGATTGTCCTGTAAGCAGAATCACAGAGGGTCCATCTGAGAATCACCAGCTGGTCATTCCTGTGGGAAGACATAGCCACCTTGGTGAGGAGCATTCAGACGCCTGGGTGTATGGGAGACACCAATGACTCCCTTTGAATCCAGAACAATTGCTGTGACTTTGATTACTTGGAGACTCATTTCCTTATATGGATATGTAAAAGGCTGGCTTGGGTATTTCCTTCTCTCTTCAACTGGCTCTGAGCATTGCAAATAAAGCTAGCCGAGGTGCTAATGTGCAAAGTCTATAGCCATCAGACAGTCCTGTTTCCTCGAGTGGTGCTCTCCACAATACAGGATTAGCTCCGGGAATATCAACTAGGGAGGAGTCTCAAGATAAGAGGCTATGATTCCCCAGGGCATAAGAGTTTGCATATCAGAAACCACCTAAGCAATAACATCCCAAAAACAATTCCATTGCTACCTTAATTGGGTTATGTAAATTGATTTCCTGCATATCTTTATCTCTGCAGTTTATAGAGATGCCATTCTTGCACCTGGCCAGCCAGCTCATTACTCAGTAATCCCCAACATCCTCACTGTCACTCATCCTTGAGCCACCCCGCTCCTTTTCTTCACAAGATAATAAATGCTGGGAGAGGTCTAGGATCAAGGTGTTTGTCTGCATATCCTCACAATTGGATATGGATTTAGGACCCCTTGGCTGCCCTTAACTTGGAACATGTCTTGAAGTCTTTACTCTCACCGTGGGTTGGATTGGTGATGGTAGATTGGAATTAACTTGCTAGGATTCCAATGATATCTTGATGGGATTATAAATATAACCTTTTGGGTTGTGAGAAAAACTAGAAAGAGGATTACAATACTTGGGTGACTGAACTCGATATTTGGGTTTATAATATGGTGTACCACTTGGAGAGCTTGCACAGATGTGTGCAGGTGACTGCCAGGAATGGGATCCCCAGGTCACAGTAGGCACACATTTGGCTGGAGTGTATGCTCCTGACCGGACCTCTATGGTTCAGATTCCTTGCTTGGAAGGTAGAGATGGGCTTGTCCCCCGTGATAGGTGGGCCTTGCCAATGCCCACCTTCTCTGTGAGGATGGCACTGGCCTCTCACACACACTGCTGACCTTTGGTCACTGGGAAAAGGTAGGGATGTGGCCCAATTCATATGCCACATTGCTGAGGCTTTGTAACCTAGATATGGGATTGATGGGTTTGTGTCGTGTCTACCTGGCCAGCCCATCTCGCCCCCACCACCCTGCGTCTCCTCCATGTATTTGGGCCAAAGCAACCTTCCCTTTCAGGTCTGCCCCCCATAGACATGCTTCAGACAAGCAAGGACATGCTAATTTATTTTGAAACAGGGATAGCAAGGATAGGCCACGTCAGAAAGGTCAGTGTGATGAATGGAGGGACCTTGTCTTACCATATGCAATGAGGACTCCTGACCTCGGGCTACCCGGCCAACCAGCTAGAAAGGAAGTACAAGGGGCCTGGGGTGTAGGGGACATTCCTGTGTGCATTCCAACTACGAAGAGGGGAGAGCCGAGGGTGGGCCACGGTCTCTAGAAGGTGAGCAGGGGCTTGTGGTGACCATATCCAGGGCCTGAGGTCACCCTGCCCTGGAAGCCAGGTATAAGTAGGGCTGGAAGCTCTGGACAGGGACCCTGAATGAGCCTCACAGCAGGCACCTGGAGGGTCTGGTGCTCCTGAAAGCTGTCGGGCTAGATGATGCCGTACTGGGCCAGCTCATGCAGCTCCAGGTGGTTGAAGGCCTCCCAAGGGCAGATGACCGTGATGTCTGAAAGAGGGGCATGGTTGAGGAGGAGCTATGGCTCAGAGCCACCCCATCCTTTGGCTCTTTTTTCCACATCCCAACAGGAAAACGCTCACTGATTGGCCCAACAAGAGCAAACAGTTGGGTGCAGGCTCACCCAGGATATATGGGGCAGGGGGGTATTAACCAGGTCCCGCCCAGCAGAGGGGGCGAAGCAGGCCTGAGAGAGGACCTGGAGAAGGAGGCCCTTGTGAACAGGGCAGCAAGGGTTCCCCCAGTCTTCGTGCTGGTGAATCTACTTCATGGACTCCTCGCTCGCTCAGTGGGGCATGAAGATGCAATATTGGGGGAGAAGTAGGCAGGACCCAGAGTAGCAAGCAAGGGAGACTGGGGACGCAGGAGTGGCTCCTTAGTATTCTTACCTGTTCCCAGACCTTCCATGCCAGGGATGTCATCCCCAAACCTGCAGAGACAGAGTAGTGGTCAGGATAGTGGCCCGAGGACAGGATCCAGCCTTCCTGCTACTGAGCTGGCTAGAGGGCTTCCTCCCATGGACACAGGCTGAGGTGGTTGCCTAGAGAATTGCACTAAGCCCCAACAGTGGTGGGCAGGTGTGTAGGAAAGAGCAGAACAGGGAGTGTGGTGGGTGTGGGATGGTGAGACTGCCTTGTGTGTGTAGGTATGGTATGGTGTTCCTCAAAGGCTTGTGAGCTTGAGGCCCAGTCCCTGTGTATTGGTACTGAGAGGTGGTAGAGCCTTAAGGAGGGAGTCTAGTGAAGGACAGTTAGGTCACTAGGGTACATGGATTAATGGGGTTTTCATAGGATCCAGTTACAACCCCATAGAATGAGCCAAGCCTGGGGACTCCCCACTCTCAGCTTCCTGTCTTGCCATGTGGTCTGTCTGTCCTCCTTTCGCTGGTGCTCCCGCTGTGATGCCCTCTGCCACGCTGTAAGATAGCCACGGGGCCCTCAGCCAAGGCTGAACCGTGGGGCTTGTCCTACCTGGGACTTGCAGCCTTCCAAACTGTGAGCTAAATAAGCTTCTTTTCAGCATGCAGTATTCAGTCTCTAGTATTTTGTCATAGCAATAGAAAAGGAGCAAGGCAGGGCCTCCTGGTGTACACGTGTGCACAGACAGATGAGTGTGGAGGGGGTGCACACACATGGCTGATGTGAGGCAGTGGCTGAATCGCAGGGTGGCAGTGGGTTTCTTTTCTTTCCAGCACTTCTTGGCAGTGGCATCTGGAGTGGGTGACAGCCCTCCCCACTGGAGGCCTCAGGATCTGCCTGGCCCTGACCTGAAAAGGGGCCTCCACCTCATCTTCCTGTGCAGCTTGGGGGACCACCACCTAGCCTGTGAAAGGCTCCCATTCCCATTCCCTGCTTACCCTTGGACACCTTTCTTGGGGGGCTTGCTCTTGAACTGCCTGGTTTGCCGCTGCTTAAACTTGGGTGGCCCCTTCCTGGGAGTGACAGGTCCTCCTACCACTCTGGTGGCTGATCGGATCTCAGCCTTGGGCAGCTCCAGGTTCATGATGAGGATGGCAGAGATACGGCAGTAGCCCTTGACTGTTGGGTGCCCTCAGGTGGAGCAGGACTCCTCATGTGGGCTGAGGGTCAACAAAGTAGGAATCCTGGTCAGGTGGTCAGGTCAGCCCTCCTGCTCTGAACCCCTACCCTGGAGCAGAGGATCAGCCCCACCACCCTCCAGTGGCGTCTATGCCAAGGAGCCTCCTTCTGGCTCCACAAGTCCCCTCTTGTGCTCATTGCCCTGGCCCAACCGCCTCTTCCCCCCTCCAGTGCTGCTGTCACACAGCTCTGGGTGCCCCTGTGCCCTGGGCTGCCTGACTTCCAGCCCACGCAGCACCCACACCAGACCCATTTCCCTGGTCACAATGGCCCAAACCAGGACCTCTCACCACCTGTCCTGCAAGTACTTGGTTGCTGAACCTCTGCCCCTTCCTGTAGCCTTGGGGGTCCAGCTGTCACCGTTGCAAGCCTCCGGGGGGCCCTGCTGGGGCTGGGATGAGACTCCACAGAGCCCCTTCCCGGCCCAGCAGATGAACCTCACCAGCCTCAGGCCACACAGCCTCGGGCCTTTCCTTCTTGACAGTCAGCCTTGGGCTATCTCACTCTCCCCTGTTGCCTTTCTGCCTTACATCAGTCACACTGCCCCTAGGCCCTCACTTATTTATTTAGATCACAAATTAGCCTGAAATCCTAGCTTATTAGTATGCTTATATGACTGTCTTTGCTCCTATTTATGCACTTACTGTTCTGTTTATTGCCTGTCTTTTGGGGTAGGACAAAGTAATGACCACGAATAATGGCCCACAAAAGGGGAGGGAGGAGCAGCCCCCTCCTGACCAGGGGGCTGCTGAGCTGTGTAACCCTCATCTTTCTGGCCTCACTTCACACAGTCATGCTGAGGTGCAGGCAGTGTGAGGAGGCTGGTACTCTCCTGGGCTCCCGGTATCCTCACTCTGTCACTGTGCTAGACTTGCTCTGAGTCAGTGTCACCTTCTGGCTCTGGGGAGGCTGCTCTGCATAAGCTATTGTCCTTGCAGGTGCCAAGCGGGGTGACTTCCCCCTCCCCAAAGCTTCTTCTGGGTGCCCTAAGCCCTGATGACCTTGGCCAAGGGCAGCTCAGTTTCTTCTAAGCCTTTTATAGCACAGAGAGACTCCTAATCTCCCAGGGATTACATAGAATGCTCTGCTTAGGCTGCCAGAATATTCTGAGGCTACACATGTGACACGGGCAGAGGCACTGTCCTTGGTCTTAGATGCCCCTGGAAACACCTTGTGGAGTTTCCTTTCCTAAATGATTCCAGCCTTGGGCCACCACCAGCTGTTTGCTGGTACAGAGATTGATTAGTTGATGAGGACAGGTGCCCCCTTCCATCCCACCTTCTGTCCCTGGGGTGCAACCTCTGCCCTTGGAGTTGGCACGATGCTGGGAGGAACCCAGGCTCAAGGGCCCAGCAGACTTGGCTGCTCGGTTGCATGGCTTCCAGCCCCTTGCTTCTCGGCTGTGTAGGCTGAGGCAGACCTCCTCCCCAGATCATGAGCTCATGATGGGCCTGGGGGTCCCAGACCATCACATTGCTGGCCCTGGTAACATTGGTACACCATCTGATACTAGGGAGTGGAGAAGATGGTTGGTGGTGTCCCCTCTGAAGGATGGTTGGGGAAGGTAGACTCCTGAAGAGCCCAGAGCTTAACTGAGGTGGTAAAGGTCTGAATATTCCTTCTCCCTTGAGGGATGGGCAAATGCCTGGTTTCCAGGAAAGGCAGCAAGATGGGTCACTACTTACCAGATGATAGACGGGTCTTGAGGGCCACAGGTGCCAGTGGCTGGATGTGGCTCAGCAGGGAACTGGCACTTGCATTTATCTTGCTTCCAGTGAGCCGATTAAGACTCCTCTCTGATACCAGCTAATGGGATTGTTAGGCCCCCAAGGATCTGGGGGCAGACAGGGGGCTGAAGTTTGGTCAGAGGCCCAAAGGAAGGGCACTAGGCAGGTAGATGAAACAGGGAGGCAGGCGTGATCCTGAACAGGTCGTGGTGGGTTTCTTCCTCCAGAAGCCACTCAGCCATCTTACGGATGGCTCTAGCCAGTGGCTTCCCTGTCCCTCCACTTTGAGTCCTGATCACTGAAGAACTCACCTCTATGATTTTTCATGGGGTGTAGCCCAAACCCTCTCCATTTCTTCGTCTCAATTTCAATTCCTGTCTTTTGCTCTGACTCCAGAGACTTTGCACCTGCTTCTCTGTGTGGTACTGCTGTAGAACTCATACCAAACCATAAGGAAGACACTCCATACCAAGGAGTTGGAAAGCAACTGTTTCTAACACTGGTAGGCTGGTGGGAAACAGCTCCAAATCACCAGCCCTAGGGCCGGGGACTTAGCTCAGTGGCATAAGCACCTGCCTGGCAAGTGCAAGGTCATGAGTCTGATCCCCTAGTACCCACCCTCCCCCCCCAAAAAAAAGCACATCACCAGCCCTGAATCAGCCTTTTGGCTTGGTTTATATAGTTTTTTTTTTTTTGTTTTTTTTTTTGTCTTTTTCCTTTTTATCGGTACCGGGGATCAAACTCACGACTGCCTGCTTGCAAGGCAGGTGCTTATGCCGCTGAGCTAAATCCCCAGCACTGGTTTATATAGTTTTGAAAGCAGGAAGTACAAAAGCTTGGTTAACTTTCATTGGGTTGGGTTAGTCATTGTCTGTTATAGGTAGAAAATCCTTGAAATATGATAGAAACACAATATATTTTAAAGTGGGAAAACAGACATTGCAGCTGAACCAGGCTGATCTGGGTCAGGTTATCTATGGAAAGCAGCTGGGTGCAACCAGGCAGGGCTGACCAGGGTTAGCAGTCTGGCTTCATGGTGGGCAGAATGAGTGTATCTTGTCTCAGTATAGTATGAGTCTGTTAGTTAGTTTTAAAATCCAGAATTTCTATCACAGTATAGTTCCTGTGCCTTCCTCTTTCCCCTAGCTCCCCCTCTTTCTGGGTCTTCAGAGCTCTGCCCAGGGTTATTTCTTAGGGCAGCATCTCCGGCTAGACCACAATGCATGTTTGAGCTAGGACCCTTCTCCCTCACACTCATGGTGTTTGCATGTGTGGATTCCTGGGTTAACCTTTATATTCTGAGACGCAGGAGGATGAGCTGGATGGATTTGTACTGGTTTCCGAAGCCAGCATGGGGTCTTCACAGATGCTAAGTAGGCAGTTGCAGGCTGAATGGATGATGATGAGAATCCAGCTGTTGAACTCCACAATAAGGCTGGTTGCACAGGGTCCAGTGAATATCATATATGTAAACATACATATGTATACACAGAAAACACAGATCTCAGCCTTTGTTTATATTTCTTTTCTTTTCTTTTTTTTTTTTTTAATCGGTACCGGGGATTGAACTCATGACCGCCTGCTTGCAAGGCAGGTGCTTATGCTGCTGAGCTAAATCCCCAGCTCCTGTTTATATTTCTTATTTAATTTTTTATTTTGAGACAGGGTCTTGCTAAGATGCTCAATTACACAGGCTGGGCTTGAACTTGTAACCCTCCTGCCTCTGTGTCTGTTTCTTTTCTCTTTTTGGGGATTGAACCTAGAGCTTCATATATTCCAGCAGGCACTCTACCACTGAGCTTTGTCCTCAATCCTTTCTAACATTTTTTTAAAAAATTTTTGGGGGGCTGGGGATTTAGCTCAGCGGCGTAAGTACCTGCCTTGGAAGCAGGCAGTCGTGGGTTCGATCCCTGGTACCGATAAAAAGGAAAAAGAATTTTTTTTGGGTACCGGGGGTTGATCTCACAACCTCACACTCACCAGACAGGTGCTTATGCCGCTGAGCTAAATCCCCAGCCCCCTTTTTAAATTGTATTTTTATTTTTTTTTTTCGTTTTTTATCGATACCAGGGATCGAACTCATGACTGCCTGCTTGCAAGGCAGGCGCTTATGCTGCTGAGCTAAATTCCCAGCCCCCATATTTGCTTTTTCTTAAGGCAGGGTCTCGCTATTAAGTTCAGGCTGGTTTGGAAATCACTTTGTACTCCAGTCTGGTCTCAACCTCTTGGTAATCCTCCTTCCTCAGCCTCCCAACTGCTGGGATTACAGGTGTGTACCACACTAGGTTTGTTCTTTTTGTTTGTTTTTTTTTTTTTTAAGACAGACTAAATTGCCCAGGTATTCTTGAATTTGTGATCCTCTTTCCTCACCTTCCTGAGGAACTGCAATTATAGGCATCCACTAACCAGTTGAGTCTATTCCTTTATTTCTTTGATAAATCCTTCTACATTGCCCCCAAATTCAAGAATTCAAAAAAGCTTTGAAACATACCAAGCCCTGTTTGCGTTGCCTATCTCTGTGGAAAATCTTTCCAGTCACTTCTGAATGTGTGTGAATTAGGGCTAGTATGGCACTGATGGTCTAAGGCTAGAGTCACTATACTCATGCTTTTTGTGGCCCTCCTGGGATCGAGTGTTTTCAGATCATATGCATCAGCCTTCTGAAGTGTCAGCCTGACCTAAAGGTGTTTTATATCCAGTATTAAGGCATCTACCTTATGATCTCATGGTTCTGTTGTCACAGATCCTTGTTACAGAAAACAAGGTACAAGGAAAGGGCCTGTGTATCAGCCAAAATCCCTCATGAAATCATTTTATAATCCTAGCTTTTCTCTTAAATAAGACATAACACACACACACGCTTAATCCCAACCCTGAAGAGACTATCTGCAGTCAGTCTGGAATTGTTTGAGAAGGGGTTGGGATGGTAAACTTTCCATGAAATGGGGATAGGGTGGGCACTGAGGACCCTAAGATAATGTTCTGCCTCAGGTCATGGTGACCAAGACTGCAACTCAGAACCAGGTTGGCTCCTGGCAACTGGTTCTAGGGCAGATGTTCCTGGACTCCTGGTCCTCTCATGACAAACTGCTTTGGGAGTCTTGGTCAGGTAAGTTGGAAGAACAGGTCTGAGCAGTACCCAGGCTCCTATGGGCTGACCATAATATCTAGCTGTTAGGAAGCTGATCTCTCTAGGACCACTGCAGGTCTTTGAGGGCAACTGGAGGCTGGGGTCCTTCCCAGAGTGCTTGCACAGGGTTTTCCTCCCAGGTGGCCCTCTCTAAGGTACATGCAAAGTATAGACAGAGGAGGCCTTCAGTGTGACATGCAGGGGGTGTTGGAGTGTTACTGGAGGAGCGTTACTTAGACAGTCAGGCAGATGGGAGTTTTATTTCACCCTCACAGGCTGGTGAAGGCTGCAGCTGCTCAGCAGATGTACAGTGCCAACTGGCACCCATTTTCTTTGATAAGACATACAGGTCTTATGGACAATACAAACACCTTCTGTTCGACCACCATGGAGAATGTACTTATTTTCAGAAAAAGTCAATAAACAATTGCACCCACTGGTTGGGAAAAAAGGTGGCTCCTGCTGCTTCCTGAGTGGGAGCTGACAGGTTGGTGTCTCTGTCCAGAGTGAAGGTGTCTCAGCCAGGCTGCTTCAGCCACTGCCATGTGTTCGGAGCTGGATCTCCATCCTGAGGAAGGCCTTGAGGTTCTCATCAGCCACGTGCTCCTCCAGCGCGGCCAGGGCGCGCTCCCCACCATCCTGGTAGTGCTGCAGTAGTGCCTCTGCATACTCCACCCACACACAGTTGGGGCAGCCACTCATGCAGCAATTTGTGGGGGGTTGGAGCTCAGGTGGCAGAGGGTAAAAGGATTCTGAGGGGTCCCCACTGGGTGGAGAGGTCTTGGGCTGCCTGGTGCTGTCTGTACCTGCTTGAGAGCCCCTCTTCGCATGGTCCATGCCTGGCTCTCTTCTATCACCAGCTTCCACTCGGCCATCGTGCCTGTAAGGGACACTGCCTCCTCCATGTAGGCTGGAGCAGCAATTCCAGCTGGAGAGCCAACGGGCCCCCTGAGAAGGCAGATAAACACGATTCTTAGGGAAGATGGAAAGGCCTACCCTGTCTCTGATTCTGGGGATCTTTCAGTCTTCCTGTTGCTGAAGGACAGGTGACTCCATGTCCTCGGCTTCCCCACTCCCACAGGACCTTAGATCAGTTAGCTCACCTCTCTAGATTCAGTTTCCCCATCTGTAAAATGAAATCAAGATGAGGAAGACATGGCATGACTCATGAGAAGTGCTAGGTGTCAGGGCCAAGCATTCGGTACGCATTCAGCAGATGAGGGCCCGGGAGAGGAGTAATAGTGGACTCCCGGCCTCAGGACTGCCCCCTTCCGACATACCCAGGGCGGGTAAGCCTTTCCCTCCTCTGACTGACCATTCTGACGAATCGCATCACTTTTACCCTATTTTGCTGTCACATAAGAAGCCCCAAGGCTGTCGGGTCTCTGATTGTAACCCCAGCAACCTCAGGTCTCCCCTGGCCCTGAATTCGCCCCAGCCACCCGACCACCGACCTGGTACAGACCACTCATTTACAAACTCCAGGGGCGCACAGGCTCTCCGCAAAGCCCGGCCTCAGGGTCTACAGGGCTTGCAAATAGTTGGTGCTGAGTAGGTGCCCTGAACACAAGTGGCTCAGCGACTTGCCGGACTTCCCAGACTTGAGGTGGATGCGAACCCCGCGTCAACACCTGCCACCCCCAGCACACCAGTACTTGCCGAGTCCCGCACAGCAGCGCCCACCACCCTGCCTGCCCAGGTAACACTCGGTAGAAGCATAGCCGCCGCAATCTGTGAGTGGCGGCAGGCCCGTCCAATCCCAGCCTGAAGAGAAGCCGCACTGATCCAATAAGCGTGGGGCTGGGAGCAGGAAGCGGAAATAGTGTTTGTGCGCGGGGAGGCGGGAGAGTGGAAGTGCTTTCGCTCTTAAGCGGCAAGTGTGGTGATGGCCGGTGCTGGACAGCGAGCGGTGGCCCCACCAGGGAGACCAGGAAACCCCGGACAGCCGCAGGCACGGCGGCGGTGGCAGCGGCAGTGGCAGCAGCCGCGAGGGCAGCAAAAATGCTCTACCTGGGAGCCGGGGCAGTGCAGGTGGGTAGCGACCCTGGAGGAGCCGATTTGTCAGCGAGCTTTCCAGCACACAATCGGAGTAGGCTCACGGCCTCCTCGATGGTGCCTTGGCTCACTCTCTGCGAAGATCTTGTTGAATATGTGGAGGCGTGAATAAATCTAGTTTTGCCTCTGCTTCGTCCGCAATATGAGGCCAGCTGTCCCAGGCTCCGCGGATTTTCGGAGCTCCGTTTGCCCCTGCATCCCTGGAGAAAACGGTTCAAGGGACCGGGTGAGAGGAGCGGGCCATCTTCTCCCTGCCCGATTGGTGGCCCCGAAACTCTTTTTTCCAGGCTTGGCCTCCTTTTCTGATTCTGCTTGTTTTCCTTAGAACTAGTCTCACCCCTTCGCCCTCCGGGTTTTCTTTCCTAGCAAAGAAAAGAAGAAAGTGAATTGCAAGCCTAAGAACCAGGATGAACAGGAAATCCCTTTCCGGCTTCGAGAGATCATGAAAAGCCGAGAGGAGATGAAAAAACCCCTCAGTTTCAAGAAGAGAAAGAAGGAGGGTATGTGTGGACCTCTACTTGGTGGTAGCAGCTTTATATGTCTGAATCCTCCCAGTTGCTCAAACTGTGTACTCCATAGCGTTTCAGGCAAGGAGGAAACCTGCCAAGACCCAGTGCTGAAGGGACAGGACAGGGGAAACAGGACTGAGGGAAGACCAGTGTCACCAAAACCAAACAAGGTGTGGTAGCAGAATGGTACCAGAGGAGACTAAATAAAGGAGAAGCCCATGCAGGGTGTGGGAACAGCTTAGGGGTACCTCAGGAGCAGGGGAAGAAGTATTGATTTTTTTTTTAAATCTACAAAGTAATGGAGATCCATCAAGGGGTTTTAATGGTGATGACCAGTTTATATTTACTTTGAGGACAGATCCCATAATGAAGGGAGTGGATACGGCTCACCAGTGAGGCTGTTAGCAGTGAGAAGTGAAGATTCCTTGGACTAAGTTTTAAGCAACAGGCAGAGAGAAGTGGTGCATTTGAGGATTTAATGAAGAAAGTTGATTAAACCCTTCTGAAAAGCTTTCCTTTCTTATTCCCTATATCAGGTTGGGCCTCATGCCACTCTGGGTGTCTTGGGCAACAATGTCAATATGCTTGTACATTTTTATTTGTATTTTTTGTTTTTCTAAACTGATTTTTTTTTTTTTTTTTTTTGTCTTTTCCCTTTTCATTGGTACCAGGGATCAAACTCACAACTACCTGCTTGCAAGGCAGGCGCTTATGCCGCGGAGCTAAATCCCCAGCCCCTCTAAACTGATTTTACAGCAGCGGTGTTTTATAATTTATTTAAATTTTACCCTTTTCACCAAAGAGATGATGAAATAAAAAGCTAAGAAAGGAGGTTAGAGGAGATACTGGCCCAAGTGGAGGGTGGTGTGTTGGTTCCCACCACCACAGTGTTGGGGCTCTGCCTCAGGGCCTTGTATATGCTGTACAAATGCTCTACCACAGAGCTATATCCCCTACCCAGATGGAATGTCTGTAAATTGTGCTGCATTGAATTGGTACTTTTTTTTGTTAAATTACTTTAAAAATACATATTCAGAAAAACTGGGGATGTCGCTCCATTGTAGAATGCTTGCAGAGCATGCTCAAGGCCCTGAGTTGAATATTTAACACTGGATGAAAAATTTGTGTGTGTGCGTGCGCGTGTGTGTACTCACAGAGGTAGTAAAGTCAAATGGTTCTGAGGAGTGTGACGTGAAAGTGAGCCTCCCCATCTATAAACCCTGGCCTTCCTCCTGAAAGAAATCATTGTTCACTTTATGTATAACTTTTCCTGGAGACATTTATTCATATTTTCACACCTTTGTAATGTAAAACCTCTTGCTTCACCCTGTATATTGTTCTGTGGCCTGTGTTCATTTATAGGATCTTTTCCATATTCATATCCATAGCTCTATTGGGTTTACTTCAGGGACTGGGTAATGAAATTTGTGGATGAGCAGAGGAAGTTCATTCATCCAGACTCGGTGGTATTTAGGTTTCTCATTGTTTTTTTTTCTTTCAGTTGTGCTGTGTTTGTGCTGTCTTTGACACTTAAACCAGCAGGCTGTGAGGTCACTTCTATAGGGATGACCTGAACTGGGCATCTTAGATCTTCTCTGGCTGCTGCGTCTAGCATGGCTTTTGAAACTTTGGAGGGAAGATAGCAGCAATTCAAAGATAAGAATCAGTGTACAAAAGTTGAGGTCAGGTGGAGCCCTCTCACCTGATTGGAGAAAGCAAACTGCCTAGTACCTGCAGTGTGTTTATTTATACCATCAGCATATAAATAAATTCAAAGAATGTTTAAGGGAAGCATAGATCTGGACAGGAAGAATATCTAATTTATTAGCAGGAAAGTCAGCATATCTTGGTGGCTTCATAGGAAACAAGGGAGAAAACTGTGTTATCTCAAGTGAAGGTTAAGTCACTTTGCAGCAGCTCCCAGATCTGTGCACACTTCTCATGGGGCTCTGCAAAACCCATGAGAGGCAGTGGTCTTGTCCAAGACACCCAGGGGACAGACAGCTTTGCTCCCGACATTTGGTTGCTTCCACTTGAGCCTGGTTTTCTCTTTCTGTTGTCTTGGAAGGGGAAGTTAGCTTGGCTGGGACCATCTACCCGCTCCTAACTTTTCTGGGGTCCTCCTTTGTTTTTAGCCCAGGTGGCCTTCAGGAACACTCTGGAGAAGGAAGCAAAGGGAATGGAGCCGGATATCATGGTTCCCAAGTTCAGGCAAAGGAAGGGGGAGTCCGATAGGGCTTACCTCCAGCGCATGGAGCAGGAGACCCAGCACGTGCTGTTCCTCAGCAAGAACCAGATCGACCGGCAGCCAGAGGTGCAGGCAGCTCCCAAGAAGGAGAAATCTGAGCGGAAAAAGGCGTGAGTCCAGACCTAAGCAGGGCCAGGGAGGCAGGGCTGTGAGTTCCGCAGCAACAGCATTTTGGTGCCACATCCACTCCTATTTATCCTCCATTCAAGAAAACAGAGGGAAGATGTTAAAGTCCTGGGAAGGGCGGAGCTCCGCGGGGTGGAGGTGACAGGGCTCAGGTCATACAAACACCTTGCTTTGCTTTTGATTTTCTCTGGAAAAGCATGAGGGCTTCAGGGCAGTTTTCCACCTTGGGCTGAGTACTAGCCATTGGGCTGTCCCTGAGGAAATCAGTATTGCAGGGATCCAGGTGAAGCTGACATACAGCCCTGGCCCAGACCTGGATGGAGGTTGTTTCCAGTGATCTCCTTTCTGGTCTGAAACAGATTCCAAAGCCTTTGGCTTGGTCATCTGCATAAGTTCTATGACTGCTCAGCCTGGCATTCTCATCTGTAAAGTATATCAAGATGATGTCACTGCCATGAGGTTTAGTTATGCTCCTTATACAGGAAGGATGGTGTCCAGCCAGGAGCAAGCCTACCCTCTCTGCCTCTTGCCTTAATTTCCTCCTGGCCTGTGGGAAGGCAGGGAGATGGTTTCAGCAAGCAGTGTTCTTTTCTTTTTCTTTTCTCCACTACCAGAGATTAAACTCAGGGTTTTTGTACTGAGCTATGTCCCCAGCCCATTTTAAATTTTCTATGTTGAGCAGGGTCTCACTAGTAGTCCAGGCTAGACTCACACTTGCCCACACTTTTCCTGCTTCAGCTTCCCAGAGTGCTGGGATTACAGGTGTGCACCACCATACCTGCCTCAGCAGTGCTTTTTGAGGTCCCTTAACCACAATTTTCCAGATTAACCAACCCAAGGTTTTATGAGTTAAAGTAACTGGGCGTGGTGGTGCACACCTGTAATCCCAGCACTCAGGATGCTGAGGCAGGAGCAGGAGAATCACCAGGAGTTCAAGGCCAGCCTGGGCTACACGGTGAGTTCAATGCCAACCTCAACTACTTAGTAAGGCCCTACCTCAAAAACAAACAAACAGAAAAACAATAAAGTTAAGGTAAAAATTGCTGCAAGTTGCAATTTTTTTTTTTTTTTTTTTTTTTTTGAGACAAGATCTCACTATGTAGTCAGGCTGGCCTTGCAAACTCAAGATGATTCTCCTATCTCAGCCTCCCAAATGCTAGAATTACAGGTGTGGGTCACCATGCCTGACTAGGATGTATCTTTCTGATTCTGTAAGATCTGTAGAGTAAGTAGGTTGTAGAGTCTCCCTGTTTCTGAATTCTCAAAGTATTTGTAGTCATATTAGGCAAGAAAATTACATCCTAGGATACTTAGTTCATATATAGCCTTAAGCCACAATAGTCTCCAAACTTTTCGTAAGACCCTAGAATTCACAGTCCCCAAAAGTGCTTCCATACATCTCCGGGACTTTGGTAGATCGTTTGGTTAAAGCAACACAGCTAGCACTTGGGGCAGAATGATTCTTCATGGTGTGGTTGTCCTGTGCATTAGGGTATTTGGCAGCATCCCTATTCTATCCAGTGTTACAGCCCATAATGTCAATAGGCGTTATCCGCTGTTCCCTATGGCTGACAGCCACTAACTGGGAACTCTCAAGGGGTCTGGTGGATGCAAGGCTCACTCTGATGGAGGATGGTGAAGGGCATAGGAAGTGCCGGTGGCTGCCAAGGCTCAGATTTTATTTCTGCCCCTGGGTAGAGTGGCCTCTGCCTCCTCCTGGTTGGGTGAGCGGTTAGGAATAAGCATCACACTGTCTTCTCAGGTTCCAGAAACGGCGACTGGATAAAGCCCGGCAGAAAAAGGCAGAGAGAGCAGTGGAAAGGCTGGAGCAGGAGCTGCTGAAAGGTAGCCCTTCCTAAGTGGCTCTGTCCCTTCAGACCTGGGCCTACTCTTCTCACAAGCCCCTTTATTTCTCCGAGTCCACAGCTATCAGGCTAGCAGATGACTCCATGTTCTGCATCCTGGCCTTGGAGGCAGGAAATACGAGGATTCGAGGATAGCCAGAGCTGTGGGCATCAGGGCAAGGCGGTATGAGGCCTTTTCCCCTCTTCCTGCAGATACTGTGAAGTTTGGAGAGGTTGTCTTAGAGCCACCAGAGCTGACTGCCCAGCCCAGGAGGAGCACAAGCAGAAGCCAGGTATGCAGGGTCTAGGTGTGCAGGAGGCCACAGAGTTACTAGCCTTTCCTCTGGAACCTCCAGGAAACAAGACCTGTGTTCATGTTTGTTGTAGGGTGCGCCCCAGCACCGTACTGGAATGAGAGCTATTTGACAGCTACAGCCCTTACCATCGCCCATGGCCCACGTGTGTGTTACCCTACTGTGTCTCTTCCTCAGCCTGGCAAGACATCACTGATGCTGAAGATGCTTTTGAGCCCTGGTGGTGTGTCCCAGAAGCCTCAGAGCACCTCACTGGCCAGGCAGCAGATTGTGAAGGCAGAGAGGGAGCAGGCTGTGCAGGCTTACCGGGCCCTGAAGAAACTGCGACAGCAGCAGCGGGTGTCACCACCACAGCTGCTGTGCCACACTTCCCAGAGGAAGGCTGAGGTGCGTCTGTGACGGAGAGACTCAGAGGCCTGGCACACCTGAAACAAGAAGATTGTCCTGTTCCGGACAATGGCCCACACACCAGCTCTCGGTGTGGAGAGTCTCCAGATCCTTTCTCTTAATTGTTCACCTTAAAGATTGCCCTTTCCCAGCGACCTCTGAGGGGCTGTATCTCCTACAGGGCTTCTCCCCTTATAGATTGGGGCCCGTGTCTTATTTCAAGCCTACCTTCACTTTGCAGCAGAAAAGTCCAGGCTCAGGGAACCCAGGGCCACCTTACGAAGTACCCAGGCTTAAAATCCTGACTCTGAACACCAGTTGATTACTGAGACTGCTGATGTTGGTCATTTCAGTATTTAAGAGGTTCCCTCTGGGTCAGGCAGGGTGGGTCAGCAGGCCAGTGGGAAAAAGCAGGCAGAAGCCAGGGAACAGTTGGTTCCTAGACTACCTTTGAGGTCTTCACAGGGAGTCAGGGCCCCAGCCCACCTGTTAGTAGACTTGCAGAGACAGGAGAGTGCTAGCCTAGGTTTGTTTGGGATAGAGATACCCTCTGAGGGGAGAAGCAGGTCTGTAACCCACCTAACAGGTCTGTGGGAAATAGGGCAGGCAGAGAAGCCAGGGATGCAGCCTCCCTGGGCTCCAGTTAGGCAGCAGGGCTGATGAAAGCACTTGCCCAGGGCAGGGCTTACTGAGTTCGACCACCAGTGCCAAAGAGTGTAGCACCCAGCCCTCCACCCAGGTCAATGCAGTCAGAGGTGTGAAGGCCTTCAGGACTGCAGACCTCCCAGGAGCCTGCCACCACGCAGATGCTCTCAGAGATCTCACAAAGGCTGAGTCTGCCTTGAGCACTGTAAAGTGAAGGAGTTTTGTGGAACTTTTTAGTCCCCTTCTGCGAGTTTGCATTTCCAAAATGAAGTTTATCAAGATTTTTGGTGTTTTTCAAATAGGGCTGTTAACCTGTGAGGTGATTTTTGCTACCTAGTGACACTTGGTGGCTCACTCACCTGGGTGCCTGGGGTGTGCACAACCCATTTGAGCTATACCTGGCAGCACTCAGGGCCTCTCTCAGGCTGACTAGAGAAGTACAAGTTCAGATGACACCTGCAACCTGGGAAGTTTGAATTAGGACACTCAGGCCAGAGCACAGCCACTGTTAGTCAAGTGCTAGTGTCTAAATCCTCCCAGGGGCCATGTGAGATGAGATGAGGCTTGTGATGGACTGCTAATTGGGACCACAAATTTTCAGTGGCTAATTCAGTGTACTTCCCTCAGGGATAAATGGAGGTTTGAGATTATGGGTGTCACCCTTTGGAGATTTCCCATGAGCTCTAGGGATGAGCCATCCTCTCCCACCCACTAAGACCACTCAGGTTAAACAGCACTGCAGGGCAAGATCCTTAGCATGGGATATTCTCTGTCCTCTGGAGTCATCCCAGGATTATACTTGCTGAGTCATCACCTCTGAATCTTCGTGGATCTTAAGTCTTCTGCTAGCCCCTCCTAGCCTTGTATACACCCAATAAAATAGTGGCTGGCTCAGAGTGTCTTCCTCTCTGCCCACTCTGGGGCACTGACTTCCCACCCCTGCTTCATGCATTATTAAATTTGTCTCATCCTTTCGCCAAACCCCATTTACAGGCAGTTGGGGATCTTGGCCTGGCTCCTGATACGCTACCTCTGTGACTTGGATTAAGTCTTTTCCTCTAGGCCTTCCTGTCATGTGGATCTTGGCAGGGTCCTGTTCTGATCCTCTGCAGCACACCTGACTTTCTTCCTATGTCTGGCATGGCAGGGCCATGCAGGACCTGGTGGTCCTTACTCAGGGCCTTGTTTTTTTGTTTATTTATTTTTTTTTATTTTGTGAGACAGGGTCTCACTATGTAGTGCAGCCTGACCTTGAATTCATAGCAGTCCTCCTTGCTTTAGTGTCTTCAGAGTTGGGGTTACATATCTGTGCCACTGCACCCAGCATTTAAGAAAAAAATTAGTCTATTAATATAAATCATTAATTTTGGGAAGTTGATACATGCATTTAACATGTCTTAATTATTTTCAAGCAGGGTTTCCCAGTCCTCCCACAGAATCAGAGTTCTTTGCCCAGATGGGACCCAGCTGTCTGCAGGTTCAAGCCCAGGCCAGGGCCTTGAATGTTTGCTGACATGATAAAGGTGTTTAGTTTGTTGCACAAAACACTGAAAAATCTAGTATGGCCTTAGGTTCCCCTAAAATGGGCCTTGCACAAAGCCCCTTGTGTGTGTGCTTTCTCTGGAACCTTATTTCAAAGGCTTGGGGCACTCCTTGTGGGAACTTCCTTGTTGCTGGTGTTGGGTGCTTTGAGTGCAGGTTCAGCACATAAAACAATATAAGACTATTTACCCCATCTGGCTTTAGCCCTCCTGTGGTGACATCTGGCAGGGTGTGAATGCAGCCTGTAATCTTTTCCAGGGGCGCATGTGAGGCCTGCTTCCCAGCTCCTCCCTGCTGTACCTGTTCTTCCCTTCCTGAGGTGTACCCCTTTACCCCGCCTCCCAACTGATGAAAACGCTAATGGTGGGTCTTTGGGGACATGGGATACCTATATAGGAAGCTGAGACAGCAGATCCAAGAGGTGCAGACAGCCAGAGCAATGGGGAGGAGGAGAAGGAAGATGAGTAGGGCTGAGGCTGGGACCTGGAAGGGCTCAAGCAGTGCAGCTCAGCAGCACCAGCAGATTACACATGGCTCATCCTAGTTGCCAGCCTTAGGTGTCCTGGTGGCAGGGCTCACTATCTGGAGGTTTGTGTACACTTCCCAGTCTGAGGTCCACTAAGCTAGAGAAGAATGCCTTGAATGTAATGCACCCCCCTGAGGGTCTGGGTCTAAGTGGAATCCCTGCATTCAGTTCAACTCTGAACAAAATATTTGAGGCATTTTTGCAGGAGATGGAGGATGGGCACCATCATCAGTTTCTCAGGCATACTAGGACCCCAAAATGATTGAGAGCAGCATTCTTGCTAGGCACAGTGCTACATTCCTGTAACCCCAAAGGGCTGAGGGAGAAGGGCAAGTGCCAGAGCAGTCCAGGGAGCTTTGTGAGGCCTTCTCTCAAAGCAGGCCTGGTGGGGTGGGGATGGGGGGGCGGTATTGGGGAGGTAGCCGTGCTCCTTGGGTTCAGTCTCCAGTACTGACAACAGATAGCATACAACCTCAAACCAGTCACCTCAGCAGGCTTCCTTCCCAGCTCGCAGCGGCTTCCAAGTAATCTGTGGTTCCTGCTGTGGCTCAGCAAGAGTCCAGAGAAACGCAACTGAGATGCTGGACTAAGGTTCTGTGACCCTAAATCCGGTTGCCAAAAGCACAGGCTGCCTCTCTGTGGCTGCAAAAGCCTGTTCTCAGATTCAGGAGCAGTGTGTCATCCTTAGGCTTCTCCAGGAAAGACCATGCCCAACCAAAGGAGCATTACGTGGCACCAGGGATATAGCTTAGCGATAAAGTGCCTGCCTTCGAGTACAAGGACATGGGTTTGATTCCTGGTAACAAAAGAAAACGACAAAAGAGCATTACTCCAGGTGATGACGGGATAGGTATAGCATGTTAAGCAGAAGCTACAGTCTCTACCTGTAGGCTTAGTGACCTATCTAAATAGTGGTTCTCTTATCCTGGTTGGGCCACATTCTCATACCCTCTGGCAGAAAAATGGTGAGGTAGAAGTCCCTGTGATGACCTGTGAGGCACACCAAGCCCATCTGTTCAGGAGATTCTACCACTGGTGGTGACCCAAGCATCAAGGAAGCATAAGAGTGGCCACAGTCTCGCTGCACTTGACCTGGACCTGGTTTTCCCTCTGTCCTAGACAACCAGGTTTCTAAGCAAGCACCTGGGCTTGGACCCATCCAGAGCTTGGCAGTCCTCTCAGCACCAGCCTGTCTCTGAAATGCTGCTGGGAAACACACTACGTTAGGCCAAAGGTACTGTGAGGGTGAGCATTAGAGTTGAGAGGGTCTGACGGCTTAAATGGGCTTCTGGCTAGCAGAAGCTCGCGAACTGCATGGAGCCGAAGCCCAGATGCAACAGTGCTAAGCCTGACTAGAATCCTTACATAGCTGAAGAATGAGATTTCACACTGAAGAGGTTTTTCTAAAACACTTGGCAACTTTAATCAGGCTTCGCTTAAATTTTCTGAAATCAAGGACCCAGAGAGAGCCAACATTTTAGATCCCATGCCAATCACTTCATTCTAATGACAGCTGAAGCAGAAAGAGGTTCATTGAGCTCACTGTTTGGAGGTTCAAGAGCATGATGCTGGCACCAACTCAGCTGTGCTGAGGCCCTTTTGGGGAGTCATATGGCAGGTAGCAATGAGAGTGCACAGGAACAAGTGGGGGGCCAAGCCACTACAGATTGAAATCTACAAGGATCTATTATCAGAGATCAGCACACAAAACCCAGAGGTATGGCACTTGTCATCTGTACTTTGAGCTGAAGACTGGGAGGGTCTCAGAAACAAGGTCTCAGTCAGGTATGCAGGGTGAGGTCAGAGGATCGCTCTCTACATGGTTGAGGCCATCCAGGGCTACAGAGTGAGTTCAAATCCAGCATGAATACTAGGGAGACCTTGTAGTTCTTCAAAAAACCAAAAATAAGCAGGCATGGCACACGTCTGTAATCAGCACTCTGGAGGCTGATTCAGGAGGCTAGCCAGAACTACATAGCAAGACCTTTTCTCAAGAAACAAAACAGTCTTGCTGGCCTTCTCTTACATCTTCATCCCTGCCCCTCATCCCACCTTCGAGTCACAGAAACCAGAATTCTTAAAGCAAGATATAGAAGGAAAAGCTCCTGCCCCAAAAACAAGTCACAAAATTTACAGCCACCCAACAGTCTTTATTTTAGGGGAATCTTACCCCATACACAAGGGAAGGAATGCTGGAGATCAAGGGCCCTCTTTCCTACCCCCCATCTATTAGCATTTGATAACACCCTACTGGTCAGTTGCATCTCATTTCTTTTCCTTCTTTTGGTAGTTTGCTTGTTTTTATACATAATTATATACTTTTTTTTTTTTTTTGGTCTTTTTAAGAGAGCCTCACTATGTAGTTCAGGCTGGTCTTAACTCACAGTGATTCCCCTACCTGTCTCCAAGTGCTGGGATTGCAGGGGCACACCACCATGCCTGGCTCTCACTGTAGTTTTTGAGATAGGATCTCATTATTTAGTTCAGGCTGGCCTTGAACTATGTAGTCCAGGCAGCCTCAAACTTACAATGATTAGCCTGCCTCAGGCTCCTGAGTACTGTGATAATAGCTATGTGCCATCTACCTGGCCCAGTGGCATTTCCACATTACTGTCCATCCGATTGGAACCTGAACATTGTAAAAACTCTTTTCCCTGGATCTTCAGATCTTCATTGAAGGCTCTCATGCCATGCAAAACTTTGATTTAAAAAGTCTGTTAATGCTTTGTCTTTTGTCATATAGTGTCACTGTGATCATGCTTTCCAGTTCTTACAGTACCAATGGGACAGGGACTAAATCTATAATTGTGGGTGACACACAATGATTGGCATAGCATGTCCAAGGAAGTATTTTCTTGGAAGAAGTCTCAGTGGTACCACTGCAGGATGACAACAGGACACCCAGTCACCAACAGGTCAGTCCTCATCTCAGCCCTGGGAATACTCTTTTTCAGAGGCCAGGTGTCAGCAGCTTTTGTAGCCTGGGTATCTCAGGTACCCTCCGATGCAGCTCAGCAAGGAGCCCTACAGCAAGGAGCCCTAGCATCTTGAGTGATGCTGGGTTGTTCACCCCTCTCAGAACAAACCATCAAGAGTCAAGCAATGCCATCCTCCGCCTGCTGCCTGTGTGCCAGTGGGGCAGCCACACTTCTCCCCTTGTCAGCTGCTGCTTCTGTGCTGATTCTGGAGCCAGCACAGTACCTCAGTCAAGCCAGTGCCTTTGTGGGCACTGATTTCTGCTATGGTGATGTTCTGCTTGGCACAAGCAATGATGTCTGGAAGCCTGATTAATGATCGAATCTCCTCCATGGTCATGTAGCAGGGTAGGTCACTGTAGTTAAAGAAGTGCCATCAGAGTGGTGGCTGTCACAAACCTGCTCAATCCCTGGTTGTACCCCCCTTATTCTAGACCCATGTACTTGGCTACACCCCAAAAAACCCCTCCCTGGGATTCTTCCCAACTGTCCCCTAACCCCAGCCGCATATTCCTCTTAGCCTGCAGACCCATACATTTTATTGAAGAGAATCAGAACTGATGCGTATGACAGCTGTTGTGCAGAAAGGAGACCCAAGAGCTGCACGCAGGATGCAGAGAGCTGGGTGGGGTTAGAGGCATCCATCATGAACTGGGGAAGGAGAAAAACATCAGCAACATCCTGTGATGGAAGAGAGTCATGGCCAACTTCCTCACCTGGGCATTCTGCACCTGGCTCAGGAAGAGGACAATGACTTTTGCAGTACTGGGGCTGAAGCTTAGGGCTTTGAAAGCTAGGCAAACACTGTACCACTAAACTATACCCGCCAGACCCAACAACAACTTTTATTTATTTATTTAGGTACCAGGATTGAACTTACAACCTTGTGCTTGCCAAACAAGCAACTGTGCCAGCCCACCAACAATAATTTTTAAATGAAGGGCTTTGAGGGTACACAAAAGCTGGGGAAATGAGTTGTATGAGGATGACCTGGTGTCACTTGCTGGTTTCCACCTACACAGAAGTCTGTATTCTTGTGGCCATCAATTCTCCACCTCATAACGTAGGGTATGGGACTTACCAGAATGGGATCAGCCAGAGAGATACAGAAATCAAACAAATGTAGGATTCACCCACAGGCCTATGCCTACAAAACAGACTACTGTCAAGTCTTCCCAGAGCTGTGACATCAGCTCAAATCACCAGAAATAGGACTCCTGCCCATAAAGGAACAAGTGTAGCCTGTTTCCTTGACTAGTACTGTCACCACAGAACCCAAATTCCATTCTTTTACTAACTTTTCTTTCTTTTGGTCTCAGGACTCGAACTCAGGATCCTGTACTTGCCAGGCAGGTGCTTTGTTATTTAGCTATACTCTGGTACCCTAAACCCCATACTATGAACAGCAGGGTCCAGGATTTGACAGCTCAAGGGATACAGATAATTTCCTAAAGGGAGTCCAAGGGATAATGACCCACCAGAAGTGAATGGCAGTTTCCACAGTAACTGGACCAGATGGGGCCCATGCACCCCCCGAGTTCTCGGATGGTGATCTTTCTTGGGGCCATAATGTCAGTAAGGTTGGTGCCCACCTGTGGGAAAACCCACGGTATAAATACTGCACAAGCAAGGGAATCCTGAACTCCGAAACAGCAATGCACACTGTGGCTTTAACCCTGGAAGCCCAGTTCTCCAAGGTCTCAGGCCTAAAGGCAAAACCCCACCAAGAAAGACAAAGGCAGCTTCCTGGGATTCTGGAACCATGCCCACCGGGAGGATCTACGGTAGGGGCGATAGAGAAAGAGGTCTGTCGGGAGGTGCGTGGGACGTGCCGCGGGAGAACGACCTGGATGCCCCGCCAGGCTCCGCTCGGTCTAGCGGCAGGACTTCATTTCTTGGAGATTCTGCTCCTCGCTCCCGGAGGCCGTCCAGATCACACCAACAGGCGGCAAAGTGGCTTCCCCTCGAAGAAGCCTGAGGCGTTTTGCAAACCGAAAAGGCAGCCCTTCTTCGACCCGCGAAAGGCAGAAACCTACCGTGGGCTGCGTAGAGGGAGGGTCCCCCAGGTCGCCCTTACAATCCGGGGAGCACAACTGTACGGGCGGTCAAGGACCTGAGCGCAGCACAGGACTGAGTTCTCGTGCCGGCCAACCCCTAGTGGTCCCCTGCCCTCCCAGGGTGCCCTCGCATGCTGTACGACGCGGAAGGATATTCTGCAAGCGTTTCACCAGCAGCGTCTTCCCGACTCCCGGAGCCCCCAGCAGAAGACACATTCCTGTCCCCGCGCCACTGGCCACCCGTAGCTCGGGGCCGCAACGATCAAGGCCCGTCTTGTCCCGCTCTTACTGGACAGAGCTCGCTTTCGAACGGCTTGTCGCTTCTCTGGATTCACGGCCTCCCCCAGAGCAGGCCAATCAGTACCCAGCCTCCGCTGGCTTGCTGAAGGATTCGTCGCCTCGCGACTCTATAGGCGATGCGCCGGTGTGCGCGTGCGCGCGCTGCCTGCGGAAGGCGGAAGCGGAAGTTGAAGGGCGCGCCAGCTCGGAGTGAAGGAGCGCTGGCAGCGTCTGTCCAGTCCGGGGTCACCATGGGACGAGGGAGCGGCACCTTCGAGCGTCTCCTAGGTAACATGCCACGCAGGGCCAGCAGTCTGGCTGCTCACTTTTCTTCCCGGCGCGACCTCCGGGCCCTCGGGGAACAGTCTGGCCCATACACAGCTCCTACGCTGGGCGCCTCCGGAGTGCGTGGCGCCGACTGTGGGCCTCGGGTGTGGCTGGCCCTGCTCGGCCTGGCGCCGCGTCCCCTGGGTGCTAGTTAGCGCGGCAGTGCGCGGGTTGGCGCGGGACCTAGCTTCATCCGCCTCTGACAGCAACAGACCATCTGGCCCAAGTCCTGAGTCACGAAGTGGGTGACTCTGATTTGAACCTAACACGGGACCTCGAACTGAATATTGATCGATGGGTGGAGCCAGTAGTGTCTTCCCTGGATCTTTTGAGCCCCTTGGAGGCTGTTTCCTGGGTACCGGGCCAGCCCCGCGTGTTCCCTGGCTCTGGAAGTGACGAAGATTTGGGAATCCTTTCCTGCCTTCGTTGGCTGTACTGTCTGATTCTGTCTGACCTTCCAGAAGACTGCAAATTTCAGGACATCCAAGTCCACCCCCTTTGGGACAATGTGCTCTGTCTTGGGATAGGGGCCAGGTGTTGTTACGGTCTGTCCTGGTCTGCCTGTTCCTGGTTTTTGAGGAGAAACACACTTTTCTCGTTCTTGGGACATGTAGCCTTATGAAGTGGCTCAGTACTTTGAGGATGAATTCAGATGCTTTTGGAGTCAGTATCAAAGGCAGACACATGTTATTAAGTTGTTGGCATGTTTGAGGAGGGTGATGCAGGCAGGGTTCAGCGGGTAGCACTGCAGTGTCTGTGTTGGAGGTGACAGGGACATGGAGACAAGATGTGTTAGTTGGGGATCCTTGGAGATTAGTTCTGCTTCCCCCACGGGAAGCACCTGTAGAGGACTGGACTCTGCCAGTCATCTCTCCAAGGCTTGCCTAATGAAAGGGGCAAAGCATCTGAAAGTAGGGACTAGGAGAAGGCAGGTAACAGTAAAAAAAATATACAGAGCCTGGTGTTTCAGAGTGAATCCTGTGTGTGTCAAGCTGAGAGTATGTCAAGCTGAGACAGGGCTGTCACCTCACCTCTTAATTTTTTGTTTCGTTTTGTTTGGTTTTGGTTCGTTTGATTTTTTGTCTTTTTTGAGACAGGGTTTTGTTATGCAGTTCAGGCTGTCCTTGAACTCACTTTGTAGTCCAGGCTGGCCCAGAAGTGATCTTCGTGCCTCAGCCTGCTTGTTTTCGTCATCTGCAGAGCAGATGAAGATAGTACCTAGTTCATGAGGTTGTGTGGAAATTGATAAAGTTTTCACAATGTTTGGAGTGGCACCTCGTGTGTATCAAGCATGCAACAGACATTTTCTGTGGTTTTCACTCCATTTGCTGTCTGGGAAGAATGGCACTTCTACAGCAGTCAGTGTGCGTCTGGAGGGTTTGCCTGTGGTTTTGGTTTGGTTTAAATGTCTAAAAAGTGAGTCCTGTTTCCCTGTTACTGGGCTTGGGAGGGGCAACCTAGGGAATCACAGCCAAGCAAGCCCCAGAACAGTGTCTTTCCTGCAGACAAAGCCACCAGCCAACTTCTGCTGGAAACTGACTGGGAGTCGATCCTGCAGATCTGTGACCTAATCCGCCAGGGGGACACACAGTAAGTAAGGAGGACTTTTACTCCAAAGCATAGGGATAGCCTTGCATAGTGCTGGGGTCACTTTGTGGTGTCCACCAGTTTCTAAGCCTTAGCTGGTCAATGAGCCCCTCATGTGGGCAGTCAGATGGTCTACATGTTGGGAATGGCAATCTCTTGGGACAATCTCTGTGCTGCTTAGAAGCACCTAGTTGTGTTGACATTTGCTTAAGAGAGTTGAAAGGACCAAGATGATAGGAAGTTTGTCATCTGACTTGCTAGGACAGTTTTTATTTTGTTTTGTTTTGTTTTGTTTTGTTTTTGGTTTTGTTTTGTTTTTCCTGCTGTTGCCGTGTTCTTTTTCTTTTTTTATTTTTTATTTTTGTCTTTTTCCTTTTTATCGGTACCAGGGATCGAACTCACAACTGCCTGCTCAGCACTTACGCCGCTGAGCTAAATCCCCAGCCCCACCCGTGTTCTTTTTCTTTCAGAGCAAAATATGCTGTAAATTCCATCAAGAAGAAAGTCAATGACAAGAATCCACATGTGGCCTTGTATGCCCTGGAGGTAACTAGACCCCCATGCATGTTTTCTTGGCTTCAGCTCCAAGAGTCCCCCACCCTACCCTAATAGTCAGACAGCCCTGCTAACCTTCCTGGGCACGCAGTGGAATTCCTTGTAGCCTGCAGTGCAGTTGTGAACCATGCCACTGAGTAGCAGGGGATGGAGTGACGGTGCTGCTTCACTGAGTGTGGTCCATAGGTAAAGCTCTGAGGTCTGCTGTCTCACGCTGTTTTTGGCACCCACATATGCATGAGAAGGATCATGGTATAAGGTTGCTGCGTGGGTCTGAAGCTGCTGCTTGGGTTCCTAACTTGGCAGCTGGCCTGAGAAGCTGTTGGGCCTGCCTTCTCACTGGAGCAAAGGGCCCTGCTGTGACCGTTGTCCCACTTCTTCTCTTCCTTGGGGTCCTCAGGTCATGGAGTCTGTGGTGAAGAACTGTGGCCAGACAGTCCATGATGAGGTGGCCAACAAGCAAACCATGGAGGAACTGAAGGAGCTGCTGAAGGTAGGTGCCCTGCAGAGTCATAAGAGGGTGGGGGAAGGCATAGTCAGCACTGCTTTCCCAAGTGTTAGTTGGAGTCCTGTAACACAAACAGCACTGGGCATAGCAGTGGATGTGAAGAGAATGTACATGTTCTCTGTGCTGACCACACTCAGACCCAGGGGGAGGTAGACCCTTGCGGGCCAGTCTGGCAAAGTTGAGCTTCAACAGAAGGTGCTGGGGCCCAAGGAAAGAGAGCTGCGCTTCTTTTGTGTGTGTGTGTGTGGTACCAGAGATTGAACTCAGAACCTCATGCTTGCAAGCAGGCGCTTACACCACTGAGCTAAATCCACAGCCCCCACCTGCTCTTCTTGAGGGGCTGGTGAAGACTTAGAGGCAGGGTTTGGAGCTGAATCTTGAAGGGCAATGGGTGTTCCTGGTGGGCAGAGACAGTGGTGGCAGTTGCTAGATGTATGAGCAGAGGAGTGCCAGAGCAGTCCTTTGGGATCGGAGGGGTCTGAGGAGTGGGGGAGTCAGCACAGAAGGCAGAGCAAGGAACCCCCTTGGGGTAGAGATGAGGGGGATGGGATTCCCACCCTCCTTCCTTGAAGGAGAAACAGATTTCTGGATCCCTGGGAGATTGTCCTGGAGCCACCTGCAGAAATTGTGATGGGACCAGTGATGCATAGCAGGAGTGGTATGGTCCTTGCTTGATGTGGAAAGGTGTCCTATCCAAACAGTATCCTGTATGCTGGGACCCAGGGCTGACCTGTGATCTCATGGGAGATTCATAGTGACTAGAGCCCACTCGCCTCAGGGCCCACACTGACAGCTGGGCTCCTCAGAGGCCCTCAGTGGGACATTTTTCAGTTGCTTGTGCCATCTTGGCTGGAGAAGTGCTGGGGTCTGTGGCCATCCCACCCTGAATGCGCCCAGTCTTGTCTGACTTCCAGAGCTAAGCAGGGTCAGGCCTGGTTAGGATTTGGATGGAGGAGCACTGTGTTCTCCTGCTGCAGGTCCTGCTGCAGTCACCACTAACGGGGACAAGGCTGTAACAGGAACCACTGGTGACCAGGTGGTAGAGGGCAGCTCATGCCTCTTGTTTCCTTAATGCTGCTTTCGTCCTGCCCTGTCCCCAGCATTGGCTGTCATGGCCTCCTGAGGGAGCACTATACTTGGCACTGGGCTGCACCTGGTGGGGATGGTGGCCACAAGGATGTGGAGTCCCTCTGTGTGAGGTCACCTGGATGCCCCTTCTAGGCTGTGCTGGCCTCACTGCCACTATTTTCTCAGCCCTGAAGTAAAGCTCTATGGTTGGGCCTGCCATTTAGAGGCTGACCAGCCCCAGGGGAAGAGAGACAGTTGTGGACCTGTGGGAACCCATGACTCTTCAGGGTCCTGTGGAGAAAGGGGAAAGAGATGCAGTCGTGGGCCTAGAAGAGCTGTAGCCCTGACTAAGTATAAATGTGTGAGGGTTCACTCGGGGCCTGGGGACAGGTGGGTTCCTGGCCCCCAAGTTCCACCCAAGGACCCTTCTGGGCCTCTGTGGCAGCCCCCTTATCACGTAGAGACCTCTGCTATCTCAACTGTCCTATGTCCTCCCCCACCCTCTCCCTGTTCTGCAGAGGCAGGTAGAAGTGAACGTCCGAAATAAGATTCTGTACCTGATCCAGGCCTGGGCACATGCCTTCAGGAATGAGCCCAAGTACAAGGTGGTCCAGGACACCTATCAGATCATGAAGGTGGAGGGTAAGTAGGGGCAGGGGACAGGCTGTGGTCTGAGGAAGGGAACATGGCCATCAGGAGCTACAGGGCCACACCACTGGGCACTTAGTGATGCCAGGTGGGAGGTTAAGCTGGATCTCACTGAGGGACTTGAAGTGGGAGCCCATTGTGGGAAGGTGATGTTCTGGAAGAGAAGCTTCTACTTTCTGGACCTCCCACCCCATAGGGTGAGGGTGGAGAGTGACCCCTGACTGTACATGGTCCAAAGTTCACGGGCAGGTACAGGTCATCGATGTGGCTCCTGGTGTAGGCAGTGTAGGACGAGCTGTCAAGGCAGGCCTCACTAGGAGGTGCCCTGTGTGCCAAGGTTTGAACATAGGCGGGAACCAGCTAGGCCCTGATGCCTTCTGCAGAGGACTCTTGGGAGTTCAGAGGCACTGGGACCAGAACCAGTGAGG